CAGTCAACAATCTCTAGGTCAGCTGTGAACTTCCTTATTGAGGCCTCGTCATGGAGTCTAAATGAGACTTTGTTGAATTCAAGTGGTGGTTTACTAATGTTTGTCAGGAGGAAGGTAGGGTAGTGGTCTGTAGTGCTATCTGTGATTATCGCTGATTTAAGGGGGGCTAGTATATTGGTCCATATGTGGTCTATTATGGTTACACTTGTCTCAGTGAGCCTGGTTGGTTTAGTTATTGTTGGTATGAGAAGTGTGTTGTTCATATTGTTGATGAAATCAGTTACAGGCTGATCATCTAGTAAGCCAAGGTTGATGTTGAAGTCTCCAGCTAAGAGAAGGTGGTGCTTATTCATTTGTCTGTTTGTTATTAGTGACTTTAATTTCTCACTGAAATTTGTGTTGGATGAAATAAGAGACAGTCTTCGATGACGCACTAACTTTCTTGGGTTATCCTGGGTGGCTAACCCTCCCTACCCTGGGTTATCATGGGTGGCTAACCCTCCCTACCCTGAGTTATCATGGGTGGCTAACCCTCCCTACCCTGGGTTATCATGGGTGGCTAACCCTCCCTACCCTGGGTTATCATGGGTGGCTAACCCTCCCTACCCTGAGTTATCATGGGTGGCTAACCCTCCCTACCCTGGGTTATCATGGGTGGCTAACCCTCCCTACCCTGGGTTATCATAGGTGGCTAACCCACCCTACCCTGGGTTATCATGGGTGGCTAACCCTCCCTACCCTGGGTTATCATGGGTGGCTAACCCTCCCTACCCTGGGTTATCATGGGTGGCTAACACTCCCTACCCTGAGTTATCATGGGTGGCTAACCCTCCCTACCCTGGGTTATCATGGGTGGCTAACCCTCCCTACCCTGGGTTATCATGGGTGGCTAACCCTCTCTACCCTGGGTTATCATAGGTGGCTAACCCTCCCTACCCTGGGTTATCATGGGTGGCTAACCCTCCCTACCCTGGGTTATCATGGATGGCTAACCCTCCCTACCCTGGGTTATCATGGGTGGCTAACCCTCCCTACCTTGGGATATCATGGGTGGCTAACCCTCCCTACCCTGGGTTATCATGGGTGGCTAACCCTCCCTACCCTGGGTTATCATGGGTGGCTAACCCTCCCAACCCTGGGTTATCATGGGTGGCTAACCCTCCCTACCCTGGGTTATCATGGGTGGCTAACCCTCCCTACCCTGGGTTATCATGGGTGGCTAACCCTCCCTACCCTGGGTTATCATGGGTGGCTAACCCTTCCTACCCTGGGTTATCATGGGTGGCTAACCCACCCTACCCTGGGTTATCATGGGTGGCTAACCCTCCCTACCCTGGGTTATCATGGATGGCTAACCCTCCCTACCCTGGGTTATCATGGGTGGCTAACCCTCCCTACCCTGGGTTATCATGGGTGGCTAACCCTCCCTACCCTGGGTTATCATGGGTGGCTAACCCTCCCTACCCTGGGTTATCATGGGTGGCTAACCCTCCCACCTTGGGTTATCATGGGTGGCTAACCCTCCCTACCCTGGGTTATCATGGGTGGCTAACCCTCCCTACCCTGGGTTATCATGGGTGGCTAACCCTCCCAACCTGGGTTATCATGGGTGGCTAACCCTCCCTACCCTGGGTTATCATGGGTGGCTAACCCTCCCTACCCTGGGTTATCATGGGTGGCTAACCCTCCCTACCCTGGGTTATCATGGGTGGCTAACCCTCCCTACCCTGGGTTATCATGGGTGGCTAACCCTCCCAACCCTGGGTTATCATGGGTGGCTAACCCTCCCTACCCTGGGTTATCATGGGTGGCTAACCCTCCCTACCCTGGGTTATCATGGGTGGCTAACCCTCCCTACCCTGGGTTATCATGGGTGGCTAACCCTTCCTACCCTGGGTTATCATGGGTGGCTAACCCACCCTACCCTGGGTTATCATGGGTGGCTAACCCTCCCTACCCTGGGTTATCATGGATGGCTAACCCTCCCTACCCTGGGTTATCATGGGTGGCTAACCCTCCCTACCCTGGGTTATCATGGGTGGCTAACCCCTCCCTACCCTGGGTTATCATGGGTGGCTAACCCTCCCTACCCTGGGTTATCATGGGTGTGAACCCTCCTAACCTGGGTTATCAGGTGGTAACCCTCCTACCCTGGGTTATCATGGGTGGCTAACCCTCCCTACCCTGGGTTATCATGGGTGGCTAACCCTTCCTACCCTGGGTTATCATGGGTGGCTAACCCACCCTACCCTGGGTTATAATGGGTGGCTAACCCTCCCTACCCTGGGTTATCATGGGTGGCTAACCCTTCCTACCCTGGGTTATCATGGGTGGCTAACCCACCTTACCCTGGGTTATCATGGGTGGCTAACCCACCCTACCCTGGGTTATCATGGGTGGCTAACCCTCCCTACCCTGGGTTATCATGGGTGGCTAACCCTCCCTACCCTGGGTTATCATGGGTGGCTAACCCACCCTACCCTGGGTTATCATTGGTGGCTAACCCTCCCTACCCTGGGTTATCATGGGTGGCTAACCTTCCCTACCCGGGTTTTCATGGGTGGCTAACCTTCCCTACCCTGGGTTATCATGGGTGGCTAACCTTCCCTACCCTGGGTTATCATGGGTGGCTAACCCACCCTACCCTGGGTTATCATGGGTGGCTAACCCTCCCTACCCTGGGTTATCATGGGTGGCTAACCTTCCCTACCCTGGGTTATCATGGGTGGCTAACCTTCCCTACCCTGGGTTACCATGGGTGGCTAACCCTCCCTACCCTGGGTTATCATGGGTGGCTAACCCACCCTACCCTGGGTTATCATGGGTGGCTAACCCTCCCTACCCTGGGTTATCATGGGTGGCTAACCCTCCCTACCCTGGGTTTATCATGGGTGGCTAACCCTCCTACCCTGGTTATCATGGGTGGCTAACCCTCCCTACCCTGGGTTATCATGGGTGGCTAACCCACCCTACCCTGGGTTATCATGGGTGGCTAACCCTCCCTACCCTGGGTTATCATGGGTGGCTAACCCTCCCTACCCTGGGTTATCATGGGTGGCTAACCCACCCTACCCTGGGTTTATCATGGGTGGCTAAACCCTCCCTACCCTGGGTTATCATGGGTGGCTAACCCTCCCTACCCTGGGTTATCATGGGTGGCTAACCCTCCCTACCCTGGGTTATCATGGGTGGCTAACCCTTCCTACCCTGGGTTATCATGGGTGGCTAACCCTCCCTACCCTGGGTTATCATAGGTGGCTAACCCTCCCTACCCTGGGTTATCATGGGTGGCTAACCCTCCCTACCCTGGGTTATCATGGGTGGCTAACCCTCCCTACCCTGGGTTATCATGGGTGGCTAACCCTTCCTACCCTGGGTTATCATGGGTGGCTAACCTCCCTACCCTGGGTTATCATAGGTGGCTAACCTCCCTACCCTGGGTTATCATGGTGGCTAACCCTCCCTACCTGGGTTATCATGGGTGGCTAACCCTCCCTACCCTGGGTTATCATGGGTGGCTAACCCACCCTACCCTGGGTTATCATGGGTGGCTAACCCTCCCTACCCTGGGTTATCATGGGTGGCTAACCCACCCTACCCTGAGTTATCATGGGTGGCTAACCCTCCCTACCCTGGGTTACCATGGGTGGCTAACCCTCCCTACCCTGGGTTATCATGGGTGGCTAACCCTCCCTACCCTGGGTTATCATAGGTGGCTAACCCTCCCTACCCTGGGTTATCATGGGTGGCTAACCCTCCCTACCCTGTGTTATCATGGGTGGCTAACCCTCCCTACCCTGGGTTATCATGGGTGGCTAACCCTCCCTACCCTGGGTTATCATGGGTGGCTAACCCTTCCTACCCTAGGTTATCATGGGTGGCTAACCCTCCCTACCCTGGGTTATCATAGGTGGCTAACCCTCCCTACCCTGGGTTATCTCACAAGCTCAAATAACTGCCACATGAGAATGTAGGGAGACTGTAGTAAGCGTATTGGCCCACGCTAGGCAGGTCCAAGTCGCACCCGCTCATCTACCCGTCCAAACTATGGAATGCTACCCAAGGTACTTGTCTCAGTGACTACCTGGGAGTTTGTTCCACTCATCTACAACTCTATTGCCAAACCAATACTTTCTCTGTCCTTTCTAAATCAAAATTTGTGAAACTAGAAGCCATTGTTGCGAGTCCTGTATATTTTTCAGTGCATTTATATCCATGTTGTAATATAGAAACAAAAAATTAGAACTTGATTTTGAATATAAATGAAGCCTTACCAAATATATATAAACTGACGTATATCCTGACGACATTTTTTTATTTATATGAAGCCAAAAATCATGTTAGCTTTGTGATCACTAATGTACTGTTGTCCTGGCTTTTATTTTCTGCAAACAAGAATTCCTATATCTTTCTCCCATTCAATTAGGCAAAAACTATGTATGATAATTCTATGTAACTGTATTTGTGTATACCTGAATAAATTTACTTACTTACTTACTTACTAACTACATTATTTAACTTGAAAGTAAGTTATTTTCTTTTCCTAAGATTATAACTTCACATTTGCTTTAAACTGTATCTACCAGTTGTCCCACCACAACCACTTATCCAGGTCATCCTGTAGCTTTCTGCTGTCATTATCTGACAGTTATTTTAAAGATCTTGGCAAATTTGCCCCGGGCCGCGGGGGCGTTGACCCCCGGAACTCTCTCCAGGTCTCCAGGTATTCCCTCATGTGTCGTTTATGTAAATTTTGAACAATGGTCCCAGTACTGGCACACCGCTAGTAATGGCTCCCAATGTTGATTTCTCCACATTTATACACACTGCTAACTAGGTTAATCATACCTCGATCGAAATGATAATTCCTCTTATACTGTGCTGAACCCACAAAGGTCATGACCATAAAGGTCATGACCTTTGTGGGTTTAGCACATACAGTTATTGATTCCATCAATTTTCCGACATCTGACGTAAGGTGATGAGTCTACAATTTGAAGCTAATGACCAATTTCTGCTTTGTAAATAAGTGTGCTAAGTTCTTTACATTCCTTTAGAACTCTTAAATAGACATAATCAGAACCAGTAAGTTCTTCGGTTTCAATATAATCGTCTGGGACCACGTCACTGGTGACTTTGATCTTGTATAATTTTTTCTTGTCTTGACCTATGTAATAATTTCTAGGAATTTTTGTCTTTGTGAAAACAAATGAAATGTGTCAAAAATGGTACACATTTACAAAACGTCATAAAAACGTGAGTTTTAAATATTTCTCAGATGTATTCTATTTAAAAAACTTTACAATTCAATATAAGTACATTTTCTCCTAGTATAATTGGATAAAACTTTTTAAATTGGCAAATTGGCTCCTACACCACCCTATTTGCATACCAATATTCCAAGAGGCACTTATAAGCTTATTATGTTTATTATAGGAACTGTCCAGCCTTGGACAAAAACTTTTAAAAGGATCCACTGCTACGAGTGTCTTTATTTTCATGTTAGAACTGATACAAGGTATAAGTTTTTACATTTGCTCTTTCCTGATATTTCTTTTAGGGGGATTTTAAGGTTTAAGTTGCAAAGGTTGGTGCACACGTCTGGGAGACCATGTATTATTATTATTATAATCAAGGGGGAAGCGCTAAACCCGGAGGATTATACAGCGCCTGGGGGGGGATATGTGGAAGGCATTCAGGCTTAATTCGGGGAACTGGAGCACAGATCCAATTCCCTAAATCAAGAGCCCCTCACCAACATCAAGGAACCTTCCTTGAGGGGGGGAGAGCATGTAACAGAGGGAAATTAAGAATGAATGTAGAAAAGAGCAAGGTACTGAGGGTAACAAAATATGTAAATGATAAATTGAATATCGGACTGGAAGTATGGATAATGGATGTATTTAGGTACTTAAGTGTGGACATGTCAGCAAACAATTTCATGAAAAAAGAGGTGAACCACAGAACAGACAAGGAGAAAAGGGTGGTTTGCGGAAGAACCTGTCGAAAGTTTATCTATGGAGGCAAAAATAGGAATGTACCAAAGTAGTGATACCAGCACTATACATAGGTATGTGGCAGGGATTTTGAATGCTGCAAAGGAGGAAGCTAGACAGTGGAGATGTCGTGTGAGAACAATGTATAGTGAGAAGAGTATCATGCAGAGAATTTGGAGTGTAGACATTTAAAGGCAATGTGGGGTCACCACAGAGGGCTAAGGTGGTTCTAGCATGTAGAAAGAATGGAAAGTATAGGATGAGGGCATATAAACCCAGGGTGGAAGGTGAGGAAGGGGTTGTCCCATGAACAGTTGAAGGGCCGAGGTACAAAAAAAAAAAAAGGGGGGGCTGTTTCATTGGTTTGAGCATCTAGCACGTCTGCGAGTGTTAGAAGTGAATGTAATTCCTGCACTGAAGGAGGGGCGGGGATATTACAGTTGGAGGGTAATCAGAAATGTGATGTCAGCACACTTCTGGCAAGTCAGCATTGTATGATGGTAATTGGGCATTCTTTGGACATTAGGTAAAAATAGTCTCGAAATCAGTGTGAAGTCATTCAGCAATGGGTAGTGGGAAATAAGAGGTTTTGCATTTTTGTGAGTGTATTATGTACAGAGGAAGTGCTAAACCCATGGGGATCATATAGCACCTGGGAAAATGGTGGGCAATCGGGTTCAATCCAAGGAAGGAGAGTAGAAGTTCCTCATTAAAGATCAAGGATGACAAGAAAATTGCATGCACTTTATCAAAAGATGGTAGACTGTCAGTATGAATTGACAGTATCTTAAAAGTGGTGCCAGGTACCCACCTGAAATTTAGAGGTATGTATTTATTATTACATTAAAGTGCTAAACCTGTGCGAGTCATTCATCAATGCATTACTTGCTTAGCCTCCCACACTGAAACAATATTATTATTATTATAATCAAGGGGGAAGCACTAAACCCGTAGGATTATACAGCGCCTATGGGGGGGATGGAAGGCATTCAGGCTTAATTCAGGGAACTGGAGCACAGATCCAATTCCCTAGATCAAGAGCCCCTCACCAGCGTCAAAGAGCCTTCCTTGAGGGGACTGAAACAATAGAAACTTGGTCACGTAATATGTGGAAGGTTATCTACCAACTAATCACTAGTGCACTTAGTTCATACACCGAGGTCCAGAGTTCGAATCTCCGGTATGGCTGGAAAACATTAGGGACGTTTCCATAAGACACCTGCTGTCCATATTCACCCATCAGTGTAAAATAGGTACCTGGGTGTTAGTAGACTGGTGTGGGTCACATCCTGGGACAAAACCTAATTTGCCCAAAATTATAATTATGGGGAGCTCTAAACCCGTAGAATAAAACAGCACGTGGGGGGGGATGGAAGGTATTCAGGCTCAATTCAGGGAACTGGAGTACAGATCCAATTCCTTAGATCAAGAGCCCCTCACAAGCATCAAGGAACCTCCCTTGAGGGGTTTGCCAAAAATGCTCAGCATAAAAAGTGGTTTTCTATATATTTTTATAATCAAATAGAAGCACTAAACCTACAAGGGTCATACAGTGCCAGGCTTTCTATATAGTAGCATGTCACTGATGTCAGCTATGGTCTGTATACCTTGTACATGTACTTGTAGAAATAAAGATGTTATAATTGAAAACAGAATTATAATTATTATAATCATGGATATATTGGGATATATTGGCAGTTTGGAGGGATATGTTGTGTATCTTTATATGTGTATGCTTCTAAACTGTTGTATTCTGAGCACCTCTGCAAAAGCAGTGATAATGTGTGAGTGTGGTGAAAGTGTTGAATGATGATGAAAGTATTTTCTTTCTGGGGATTTTCTTTCTTTTTTTTGGGTCACCCTGCCTCGGTGGGAGACGGCCGACTTGGGGGAAAAAAAAAAAAAAAAATGGAGGAGCACTAAACCCATAGGATTATACAGTGCATGGGGGGTGGTGAGTATTCAGGGTCAATTCAGGGAACTGAAGTACAGATCTAATTCCCTAGATCAAGAGCCCCTCACCTACATCAAGGAACCTTGGGTGGGAGGGCTGTGGTGTATACATTGGGCTGTTTACCTGGAGAGAGTTCCGGGGGTCAACGCCCCCGCGGCCCGGTCTGTGACCAGGCCTCCTGGTGCATCAGAGCCTGATCAACCAGGCTGTTGCTGCTGGCTGCACGCAAACCAACGTACAAGCCACAGCCCGGCTAGTCAGGAACCGACTTTAGGTGCTTGTCCAGTGCCAGCTTGAAGACTGCCAGAGGTCTGTTGGTAATCCCCCTTATGTATGCTGGGAGGCAGTTGAACAGTCTCGGGACCCTGACACTTATTGTATGGTCTCTTAACGTGCTAGTGACACCCCTGCTTTTCATTGGGGGGATGTTGCATCGTCTGCCAAGTCTTTTGCTTTCGTAGTGAGTGATTTTCATGTGCAAGTTCGGTACTAGTCCCTCTAGGATTTTCCAGGTGTATATAATCATGTATCTCTCCCGCCTGCGTTCCAGGGAATACAAGTTTAGGAACCTCAAGCGCCCCCAGTAATTGAGGTGTATGCAGCAGACACGCACAATTTAGTCGATCAGGCCAACAACTGGGAGACCTGGTCTAAAACTGGACTGTAAGGAGAATGGGGAAGTGGTGACTCTGTAAAGACTACAGGTAGCTGTCATCAAGCTTTCATTACATAGATGAAGTGTTTAACCCATAGGGGTCACGTAGTACCTGAGGACTGCAAGGCATTCAGGTCTAAGGTGAGGGATAACTCCAAGTCCTTAGATCAGCAACCCTTCATCAACATTAAATTTAAGAACCCCCATTGAAGGGACAGCCATACCCCTCAAGGAGGGTCTTTGATGCTGGTGAGGGGCTCTTTTTCTAAGGAATAGAGCTTGAGCTTTCCTGGATCAAATCTGTGCCTTCCATTCCCCAAGAACTATATGACCCTTACAGATCTAGCACTTTCCCCATGAATGTAACAATTTCCATCATGCTTTTTTTTATAGAAAATTTAAATTTTCATGTTTAAACAACTAGTCTGTGAAAATAAAACATCTTAAGACATGTGCATTTTAGTTTAAAATTTATTTAGAATTTACATTTTTCTGATTTGCACTGCAGAGTAAGCACAAACTGCCAGGCACAGTGCAACACTGCTCTTACCAATCCTCAACTGTACAAAAATCAATGCATTGCAAGGTGTGTATTAGAAAAAATAGAAGTTCTCCTGAAACTGATGATACACTGAGATCTTTTAGGGCAAGTGTGAGGGGCAAAAAGATGAGAAGGGAAATAGGAATGTGATAGGTCCTTTCAGTCTTGCTTCATTCTCAACTAAATGTACTGAAACAGGTCCACAAGTCTCACAAAAGATTTTTGATATGAATCCATTGATGCTGACTTTAAGATGAATTTGTGGACAACCAACCAAAAGAAGTATAAAACATGTCTAGTCTCAAAAATGATTACATTATTGACTAGGCATTACACTCCATATTCTTTTCAAAACATTCTTTGCATATCAAACTTCATCCTTTATACTTTTTAATACTTCTAGCATCATACAACCAATAAATTAATTTTTAATGAAGGGAACACAAACGGGTATCTCATCTTTCCCCTCAAAATCCCTTTGTTTCGGCCGAGATCCTCTCGAGGTGTAACCAAACAAATTTTCCCTCAGGCATTTTTGCAACTGGCCATCTCAACAACTTAGACATTTGGGTGTTGAAGCAATTTTTAAACATTTTAAAGGAAGGGTTAAATGTGAATAAAAACCAAAAAAAAAAATACTTTCTTAAAACCCCAAAGTCAATTTTTTCCTTTTTACTTTTTTTTTTTTTTGCACAAGTCACACTTTCTAAATAATCTGCCTAATACATAATAAAAATAAACGGCCCCCTATTGATTGGGGTTTTTTAAATTTTGATCAGGACAATTTTTGTTCTAAACTACTAAAAGCAAACTTCATACAGGGGTTTAAAAAAAAATAATTGAAAATTAAAGACAAGCCCTAGAGTTTGCCTACATTTACACTAAAATAATTAGTTTTCTGGGAAAAAAGCTGCTTAGCACATTTAAAAATATTTAGTTCACAATTTGAAAATTAATCTTCAATAACCTTTTTTTTTAATTTTGTAAATGATTTTTAAAAACTTTTCGTAATAACACCCCTCAAGAAAGGTCCCTTGATGCCAGTGATGGTTTTTTACCCAAAGACCGGGAGCTCCTATTTTTCCTTGGATTGACCCTGTTTCCTCCCTTTCCCCCCGGGTCTTGATCCTTATGAGATTGCACCCCCCCCAATTTTTAATGCAAACAAAACTTTTTAATAACTTTAAAAAAAATAGGGAAGTTACATTATAGATTTGTAAATAAATTTGAAAACTTTCACCCACATTTCCCTTTACTTTCATTACACGTTTTTACAAAAAGGTGGCCTAATTTTCTCCATGTGAGTTTTTTTCACAGCACAAAATCCAACCCCACGGGAAGGGTGTATATCAGTTTCAAGAACAGCTGAGGGGGGGGTTTACCCTTCATCAAATGCTAATAATTTCCATAAAACACAAATAAAAGTTACCGGGGCATCAGAGCACCCAACTTGTGCGAAAAGTCGCCCCTACAAATGCACTACCTCCGCGTACCACACAAGGGAAAAACTCTAAATCCATCAGGGAAAAAAGCTCCCGGGTTTCAAACCTGTGGTTTGAGGGAAGGGTTTGGCAACAAAAAATTTTTTGTCAAAATGACTTTATTTAAATTTTAAGCACCCAAAGAGGTGTGGGTGTGTGTGTTTTGTATGTTTTTGTGTGTCTGGTTGTTTTGTGTATGTGTTTGTGTATGGTTTGGTGTGTGGTTTTTTGTGCCTGTGGTGTGTGCCGTGTGTGTGCCGTGTGTGTGCCTGTGTGTGGCCTGTGTGTGTGCCTGTTTGTGTGCCCGTGGTGTGGCCCGTGTGTGTGCCGTGGGTGTGCCTGTGTGTGTTGCCTGTGTGTGTGCCCGTGTGTGTGCCTGTTGGTGCCTTGTGTGGCTTGTGGTTGTGCTTGGTGTGTGTGCTTGTGTGTGTGTGTTGTGTGTGTGGCTTGGTTGTGTGCTTGTGTTTGTGCTTTTGTTGTGTGCTTGTGTGTGTGTGCTTGTGTGTGGTGCTTGTGTTTTTGTGCTTGTTTTTTGTGTGCTTGTGGTGTTGTTGTGTGTTGTGTTTTTGTGTGTGTGCTTGTGTGTGTGTGTTGTGTGTGTGTGTGGTGTGTGTGTGTGTGTGTGTGTGTGTGTGTGTGGTGTGTGTGTGTGTGTGTGTGTGTGTGTGTGGTGTGTCTATACACCAAAACCCTGTGTGGGCAAAATTGTCAAATGAAAAATTCTTTTTTTTTTCAAAATTTATTTTAAAAAGGTAATCTCTTTTGTGACAAGTCCAAAAAAATAACACACCACAAATTTTTTGATGTTTTTATTAAAAATTATAGAGAGGAAAAAAAAAAATTATAATATTTTCAAAAGATGGAAATTTTAAAATACAAAGGGTAAAATTACATATGTATTAAATGAAGAATAAATTTTAAATGAAAGAGAAAAAGACCCCTCACAAGCTGAAAAAAAAGTGGAGATGAATTATGAGGTATGTTTACAGGAAAATAGAGTTTCTCTCCCAGTTTTGTCGTTTGAAATGGCTGTCAAGATAAAAAAAAAGAAAAACTTATTTCTCACACCATGTCCCAAATGTGGGTGTGTTTTGTTGGGTGTGTGGTGGGGGTGTGGGGTGTGTGTGTGTGGTGTGTGTGTGTGTGTGGTTGTGTTTAAAAATATATATATATAATATATATATATAAATTTTATATATATTTTATAATATATATAATATATTATATTATATAATTAAATGAGCACCTCTGCAAAAACAAGGATAAAGTTGAGTGTGGTGAAAGTGTTGAAGGATGAAGTATTTCTTTTGGGGGGTTTTCTTTCTTTTTTTTGGGGCCCCTGCCCCGGTGGGAGCGGCCGACTTGTTGAATAATATAAATTTAAAAAAATAATATATAATAAATAATATTATTATATTAATTATAAATACACTTTTCCGAGGCTATGGGGGCCCACAATTTACACCGAGGTGGACCCCCTCCTATAAAATATTATATATAACCCCACCACCACACACACACATACATCTTATACAAAATATAATAATATATAAAATTTTTATAATATACTCTATTTAACAAAAATTTTTATACATATATGTCAACAGAAACAAAATCGTATGGGTAGGCTGATAATTGCATATTCTTTTTTCCCTGAGAGGTCTTTTGGTTTAATATTCTGTCATACAGTTTACTTTTATCAATCGTCCCCAAATATCTGCGTTTAAAAAACCCGAGAGCTGCACTTTCTGAAAAAAAAAAAAAAAAAAAAAAAAAATTTGGCCCTGAAATTAGAAAAAGCCCCAATACCTGATCAGCAAATTTAAAATAAATTTGAGATAAAAACCCAAAGACATTTATCCATTTCCAGTAAAAAAAAAAAGGGAAACAACCGTCACGTTTTAAGAGTAAGAAAACGTAACATTATCTAGTTGCATTACAAATCTGAGGTTACCTGATGAACCTTTATATGTTCATTAAGTGTACATCTATTTTATCTGCTTGACAAAGAAGGGTGAGTCTAAGTTCTCAGACAGGAATACCAAAAAATGTGCTTGTCAATACAGTCTAAACTTCTAGTTGAAGACTCCTACTTGACATTCATGTAGATTAGATGAAAAGAAAATCCAGCATGTTACAGGATGTGTATATTTCTTCCTTGGAGAATATGTTCTTTAGTTATTACAAGTATACTGAAAATGCTCTTGTAATCCAACTTAAATTATCATTAATACCAAATGGCAAGAAACCAAGGTTTTGTTCATACAGCCGATCAACTGGTCACCTACAGATGGACTTATGCCGAAGTACAATCTCCCTGTAAACTGCGGTTTTGTTGATGATGGTGTGTAAATCTGGAGCTGGACAGTAAGAGGGGGGGGATCATCCCAGGAATAATTACTGAGTACAAGAAGCGAGTATCAGGGCTTAGCATCCTGCTTGCGTGTGTTAAGTAGTGAATGGAGACAAGTGAATTTTAATGGAGGTAAGTGGTTGGAGGGTGGAGCAGGTAACTTTTATGACAGGGATTAAAAGAAGCCAGTTAGCCAGACTTGAGTCGTGAATGGAAAGGGCAGTAGTGTCTACACATAAAAAGAGGAGTGGGTAAGTTTGCAAGCCACATGGGGTAATCTGACTGTGATGTCAGTGCGCATTATAAAAAGGCAGCAAATGATGTGATATTTTTTCTTCTGGTCTCCCTTGTCTTATGTGGAAATGGCCTTTGAGTTACAAACAAATAGCATAATTGCATAAATCTGCTGTGATTAAGCTAGATTATTTTAACACATGTTCAGGATATATATAGTTGTTAGCCTAAAGGAATAAAACAATTTATCATGGCAATGAGATCAGGTTTTCAAAATAACAATCAACGACATTAATCATCGTCATACGTAATTACATGAAAAAACCTTCTTTCCTTTAGAAATGTACTTTGCCAAATTAATTTTAAAGCCATTAAATTAATAAAAAACCAATAATGTGTGATGTACATGTAGGGTTATTGTACATTAATTACTTTATGTAACTAGCTTTGGTGTATGTTTCTTAATTAACAGCACAACAGCATCATACCCCGTTATCATCCGAGGTAGGTAGGTAGAGTAGGTAGGTAGGTAGAGGAGGTCGGTAGAGGTAGTAGTGTAGGTAGTGGTATGGTAGGTAGGTAGAGGTAGGTAGGTAGGTAGAGGTTAGGTAGGTAGGTAGAGGTAGGTAGGTAGGTAGGTAGAGGTAGGTAGGTAGGTAGAGGTAGTAGGTAGGTAGGCAGGTAGGTAGGTAGGTAGGTGGTAGGTAGGTAGTGCAGGTAGGTAGGAATAGAGGGTTGGTTAGGTAGGGTAGGTTGGTCGAGGTAGGTAGGTGGTGGTAGGCAGGTAGGTAGGTAGGTAGAGGTAGGTAGGTAGAGGTAGGTAGGTTGAGGTAGGTAGTAGAGGTAGTAGGTAGGTTAAGAGGTAGGTAGGTAGAGGTAGTAGGTAGAGGTAGGTAGGTAGAGGTAGGTGGAGGTAGGTGGTAGAGGTAGGTAGGTAAGTGGTAGGTTGGTAGAGGTAGGTAGGTAGGAAGAGGTCGGTAGGTAGGTAGAAGAGGTCAGGTAGGTAGGTAGGAGAGGTTATGTAGGTAGGTATGTAGGTAGGTTAGGTAGGTAGGTAGGTAGGTAGAGGTAGGTAGGTAGAGGAGGTAGGTTAGAGAGGTAGGTAGGTAGGTAGAGGTAGGTAGTTAGGTAGAGGTAGGTGAGGTAGGTAGGTAGGTAGGGGTAGGTAGGTAGGTAGGTAGGGTAGAGGTAGGTAGGTTAGGTAGAGGTGGTGGAGGTAGAGGTAGGTAGGTAGGAGAGGGTAGGTAGAGGTAGGGTAGGTAGGGGGGGTGTAGGTAGAGGTAGGTAGGTAGGTAGGTAGAGGTAGGTAGGTAGGTAGAGGTAGGTAGGTAGGTTGAGGTAGGGTTGGTAGTAGAGGTAGTAGGTAGGTAGAGGTAGGTAGGTAGGTAGGGGTAGGTAGGTTAGAGGTAGGTAGGTAGAGGTATGTAGGTTGAGGTAGGGTAGGTAGAGGTAGGTAGGTTGGTAGGTAGGTAGGTTAGGTAGGTAGAGGTAGGTAGGTCGAGGTAGGTAGGTAGAGGTAGGTAGGTAGGGTGTTAGGTAGGTAGTGGTAGGTAGGTAGGTGTAAGGTAGGTAGAGGTAGGTAGGATAGTAGGTAGGTAGGTAGAGGTAGGTAGGTAGAGGTTGGAGGGAGGGTAGGTAGGTTAGAGGTAGGTAGGTAGAGTGTAGGTAGGTAGAGGTAGGTAGTAGAGGTAGGTGGTAGTAGTGGTAGGTAGGTAGAGGTAGGTAGAGGTATGGGAGCGTAGGTTAGAGGTAGGTAGGTAGGTAGAGGAGGTAGGTAGGTGGTAGGTTTGTAGAGGTAGGTAGAGGTAGGTAGTGGTAGGTAGTGGTAGGTAGGTAGGTAGAGGTAGGTAGGTAGGTAGAGGTAGGTAGGTAGAGTAGAGGTAGGTAGGTTGGTAGGTAGGTAGAGGTAGGTAGAGGTAGGTAGGTAGGTACGGTAGAGTTTAGGTAGGTAGGTAGGTTAGAGGTAGGTGGTAGGTAGGTAGGTAGGTAGAGTAGGTTAGGTAGAGGTATGGTAGGTAGAGGTAGAATAGGTAGAGGTAGGTAGGTAGGTAGAAGGTAGGTAGGTAGAGGTAGGTAGGTAGGGAGAGGTAGGTAGGTAGAGGTAGGTAGGTAGAGGTAGGTTGGTAGGTAGGTAGGTAGGTAGTAGGTAGGTAGGTAGGTAGGTAGTAGGTAGAGGTAGGTAGGTAGGTAGAGGTAGGTAGGTAGGTAGAGGTGGTAGAGGTACGTAGAGGGTAGGTAGAGGTAGGTAGAGGGAGGTAGGTGGTAGGAGGTAGGTAGGTAGGTAGGTAGGTAGAGTAGGTAGGTAGAGTAGAGGTAGGTAGGTAGGTAGTGGTAGGTATGTAGGAGAGGTAGGATATGTAGGTAGAGGTAGGTATGTAGGTAGAGGTAGGTATGTAGGTAGAGGTAGGTATGATAGGTAGAGGTAGGTAGGTATGTAGGTAGAGGTAGTTAAGTATGTAGAAGACAGCCTGAATACTGTTGCTGCACAGACAGCCCATGCTGTCTGCAGCTTAGTTCATATTTTCGCGCCACTCAGGTGCTTGCCTCTATTAGGCCTTGCCACTTCCTAGTATTCCCAGACATGCCTCCGCCTCACTCTCACAGCGGCCTAGCAGCTAAGACACAAAGGGTCGCTCTCGTGGGCATGGCCCTCGGGCATTGGGCACAACACAAGCTGTGTACCCACTACGACTTAACAATAAAGTAAGAAGCCTCCGAAGACGTATCATTAACACCCGATACCAGAATACAAAAATATCTTATTCGTTTTATTTGGTGGAAAGCGGTGGGATCAGCAGTTGTTTGCCCGTGAGAGAGGAGGAGAGTATGAAGTCATCTATCAACTTCACCCTTACACCAAAAAAGCTCCGGTCTCTCAACAAGTTATCTGATGTCGTGTCTGCACGTTTTTGAGCATCCAGACACAGGTACAAGCAGTTCAGGTCCGAAATTTGCCGAAATTCTCCGAGAATTGTAAGTGGCGTCACAGTGACCCCACGCCTACAGTGACTCCACGCTACAGTGCCTCCCCGCTACAGTGTCCCACGCTGTTTCTCAAGTCACCTGTGTTCAGCGTTCTCTTTATGTTGCTGTTGTTGGTTCAGCTCAGCACAGGCTGTTTCAGCAAGCAGAGGTGAGTTTTGTGGTGATTTCTGCGTCCAGTGTGAGCTTTTCCACGTGTTTGTGGGAGGAGGAGAATTGGCAGCATGCTCCCCTGCCATACATCCCACGCTGACCTGCTCTCACCAGTCTGCCTACACCACTCCCACTGCCCACTCCCTTGCTGTGTGTTCTGCTGTATTTCGTGTGATTCTATTTGCGAGCTGTTGTTTCGAGTGCCCGAGGCCACTCTGAAGGCCACGTTAGATCAGCAAAAAAAAAAGCCACCGTAGATCACGAAGCCATGTGGATCACGACGCAACGTTGGGCATGGGCGATGTCACGTAGACCTAGAGCTATGGGGAGGTACCAGATGTCCAGGCCACATGCTGTGGGCTGCTGCCCGCATCACATGACGTCACCACGATGCTGCCCCGACGTCATGACGTCACGATGTCTGCTGACATTCACTTCGAGATGTCTGCTGGAAGTCACCTCACGATGTCTGCCTGACGTCACCTCGAGATGTCTGTGACGTCACCTCGAGATGGTCTGCTGTCGTCATCACGCCTGACATCACATGATTGTCACATGAGTGTTTCTAGGATTTTTTCCGTATTGTGAAGAAGAGGGGGGGGGGGGGGGGGGGGGGGGGGGGGCTGAGAGAAAATATATGTCGTGTGTAATTATTTCCTCTCAGTCATTGTTCTCACATTTGTAGTATGTCTTAGTCAGTTTTATGACAGAAAAGTTTCATTTGCTAGTTTTAGCCATGTTGTACCGCTGTGTGTGTGTAAAGTTGCCGTGTCCAGTGAGGTCGAGCCAGACCTGAGTCAGAGCACCACTGTTGCTAAGTCACCGTGTGACCCGTACATTGACAGGCGTTTACTCAGCCCTGAGCCCGAGCCCTCTTGTACCAGAAAGCTTTTATGTCGTAGCTCGTGATGTTCTGCAGAATCGTCCTGCTACGATCCCTATCGAGATGTGTTTCACTTCACCTCCAGACCTCGAGTGCAGTTATATGTAGAGAAACAAGTCTGGTCGTTAGGCTTAACCCCTGCT